TACACCTCTCCCTTTCTCTATTATTTCTCTCCTGTCTGCCTGTCTCTGTCATCTATCCCTCTATCTATCTATAAACTATTATCTACTATCATCTATCTCTACCTCTCTCTATCATCCATCCATTATCTATCCATCCATCCATCCATCCATCAGTGTGTATATGTGTATCTATGATAACTCAAGATGGCCAACATATTCAACACACTTTCCTCCTCCTATTTCTCCCAAAACAACAACCCTGTGAGGTAGGCTGGGCTGAGGATTCTGGAATCAGTGTTGAGATATGGTAGTTGTCTCAAAGACGGTCCTTCGATATTAACTTCTCAGCCATAGGAATCCATCCATCCGTCCATCCGTCCATCCTCAATTACGGCAATTTTTAATAGAACTGGTAATTCGGGGGAGGTTTTCATTTTATGATTCCCCCCGCCTTCCCAGAACCCCAAAGTCTCCTGATCAACCCCCCCCCCCGCCACGAGACCCCCAGGCCGAAGAGCCCCCAGGCTCCTTCCCTTTCTGCCCCTCCCCCAAGGTTGGACCCCTCAATTTGAGCGAATCCCAAAGTGACCCCCTAACCCCCTGCTCGAAGCCCCCCACCCTCTCCCAAAGCTCTCCACGGGTCAGGTCGGCGCACACCCGTGTAGAATCCTCCCCCTCTCACACACACACACACACTCACTCTTGCAAGCGCATTCTCCCTGCCAGCAGGTCGTGTGAATCCCTGCATGGCCTTGATGCCGGAGGGAATCGCTTGATCCAGGGGGCACGGGTGGGGAGGGGATGGGAAGGGTCTGGATTCCGTGGGGGGAGAGTGGGAAGGAGATGTTGGGGGAAGCCGGGGGCCAAGGCGAAGCTCCCCCCTCCCCTCCCCCTGGAGAAGAAAGATTGGACAGTCACTTGCCTGAAATCCTATGGTCTCCTCCTTGAGCAGGGGGTTGGACTAGCAGACCTCTAAGGTCTCTTCTGGCTGTATTCTTGATGGAAATGGTCTAGGGGTCTCCCGCTTGAGTAAGGGGTTGGGCTAGCAGACCTTTAAGGTCCCTTCCGGCTGTATTCTTGATGAAAACGGTCTTAGGGTTTCCTGCTTGAGTAAGGGGGTTGGGCTAGCAGACCTCTAAGGTCCTTTCCGGCTCTATTCTTGATGGAAATGGTCTAGGGTTTCCCGCTTGAGTAAGGGGGTTGGACTAGAAGACCTCTAAGGTCCCTTCCAGCTCTATTCTTGATGGAAATGGTCTAGGGTTTCCCGCTTGAGTAAGGGGGTTGGACTAGAAGACCTCTAAGGTCCCTTCCAGCTCTATTCTTGATGGAAATGGTCTAGGGTTTCCCGCTTGAGTAAGGGGGTTGGACTAGAAGACCTCTAAGGTCCCTTCCAGCTGTATTCTTGATGGAAATGGTCTAGGGTTTCCCGCTTGAGTAAGGGGGTTAGACTAGAAGACCTCTAATGCCCCTTCCGGCTGTATTCTTGATGGAAATGGTCTAGGGTCTCCCACTTGAGTAAGACTAGCAGACCTCTAAGGTCCCTTCCGGCTGTATTCTTGATGAAAATGGTCTAGGGTCTCCCGCTTGAGTAAGGGGGTTGGACTAGCAGACCTCTAAGGTCCCTTCCCGCTGTGTTCTTGATAGGAAACGGCGGATGGAGTCGGCTTGCTAAGCCCACAATGCCTCCGGCCAGCCAGCTTCGCCTCCTCTTTGCAAGTCAGCGGGGGGAGGCGTGGTGTGGCCGGGAGGGGTGGCGCGTTCTTGGCTTCCCGGGGAAGTGCGAGTCGGCGGAGCGATCCGGGCCGGAGGAGAGGAGGACGGAGCGGCGGCGGCGGCGGCGGTAGCAGCAGCAGCAGCAGCAGGAGGCGGCGGCGGAGGAGGAGGAGGAGAAGGAGGGAGGAGGCAGGATCGCCGGCGGAGAAAGAGCCCGGAGGAGCATGGAGGCGGAGGCGCGCCCGGCCGGCCAGCCGGACCTGAAGCGATGGAGAGCGCCGCTGCCGCCGCTGGCGGTGCTGACCGCTTAGCCTGGCCGGGAAGCTGAGCTCCAGAAGCGGCGCCTCCCCCCAACCCGTCTTCGGCCCAACTCGGATGCGGCTCCGGGTGACCGACGACGCCGGAGCCTCGAGCGCCTCCGGCCGCCTCCTCCAGGATGAGCAGCGGCGGCAGCGGCAGCGGCAGCGGCGGCGGCGGGACCGGCCCGGGCGGCAGCAGCAGCAGCAGCGGCGAAGTGGTTTGCTCCGGCTGGCTCCGCAAATCGCCTCCGGAGAAGAAGTTAAGGAGATACGTAAGTCCGAGCGCGCGGGGGTCTCTCTCGGCTGGGAATCCGGGCGGAGGGGCGTGAGATCCGGCCGAGAAGGAGCGGGGATCTTCCCAACCACCACCCCCCGCGCCTTTCCCACTCGGGTGCGGACTTCCAAGGGGATCTTTGGCGGGGAATCGAGATCCCCATCGGCGGGCAGGGGGGGGCTTCCCTTTAGATCCGAAGCCCCCCTCCCCACTTTCGCCTGGCTTCGACTCTTCGACCCTGAGCCGGATCCCCCGCCGGGGAGCCTGGAAGTCAAAGCCGGGCGGAGGAGGGGGAGCTTCCACCCCACCCCACCCCACCCTTCGCTCGGCAGGACCCCCGCCCCGCTGCCACCCTCCCACCCCCGGTCCCCGATGGGCCACCTTCCTCCCGCCGGGCTCCGGGGGGAGCGGGGGGGGGGGCGGGGAGGAGAGCAGGTGCATCCCCCGATCGTCCCGCCCTTCCCGGGGAGGAGGGTGGGGGAGGCTTCCCCGACTGCTTATACCGCCCCCCCCTCCCCACGGCCCCGGCGACCGGGGTTCCCGGGCGGGGAGGCTCCTCCGCGGGATCCCAAAGCGGCCCCCGGGGTTGTTGCTATCCGGGCAGCTGGGCTGGCGAGGGATCCTTCTCCGGTCCAGCTGGGGGAAGGAGGGGGCGGCGATGCTTCCCCCACCCCACCCGGTTTCCCAGCCCAACCGGAGCGACGCTGGCGCTGCAGGGTGGAGCCGCTGGGGGTGGGGGGGAGAAGGAAAGCGGCGTCGTGCAGATGACCGCCGCTGCCGCCGCGTCCTGGGCGGAGCGGGGCTCTCCCCTTCCCGGGGCGGGGGTGAGCCGGGCGGCTGCTGCTACAGGTGGCGGCGGCGGCGTTGTTTGGGTTGGGGTGCTCGGCTTTGCCTTGCGGCAGCCCGCCCCCTAGCGGCGCCGGTGGGAAACGCGGCCGCTCCTTTCGGGAGACCGGGATCAGGTTCCCACGATCGCGGCCTGGATCGGGTTCCCACGATCGCGACCTGGGATCGGGTTCTCACGATCGCGACCTGGGATCGGGTTCCCACGATCGCGGCCTGGGATCGGGTTCCCACGATCTCGACCTGGATCGGGTTCCCACGATCGCGACCTGGATCGGGTTCCCACGATCGCGACCTGGTTCCTAGGATCTCGACCTGGACCGGGTTCCCAGGATCTCGACCTCCTGGACCCTGTTCCCAGGATCGCAACCTGGATCTGGTGTCCTCGATCTCGACCTGGATCGGGTTCCCACGATCGCGACCTGGTTCCTAGGATCTGGGGTCTCAGGATCGCAGCCTGGATCGGGGGTCCCACGATCACGGCCTGGATCGGGGTCCCAGCACCGCGACTCGCACCGGGTTCCCACGACCGCGCGTCTCCTCCGAGAAAGAGCCGCGCCGTCGCTGCCTCCGCGCTCCGGGCTGGGCTGACTTGTAAACGGGGCCGAGCGGAGCTCGCTGCGGCTGCTGCACTTGGCTCGGATTAGCGCGTAGAGCGCAAATCCGGCAGGGGGGGAGTTAGTTAACTGGCTAACCAGGTTCGGCTTGTTGTGCACCTGCGGTGGAGCCAGGCCCTGGGGCGGAACGCGCGTTGGAGTCGCCTCCTGATTGATGACGGCACTTTCGCCTCGCGGGTTGCTGGTTGCCGGCTGAAGTTACTGTTTAACCGCGGAGTTTGCCTGCCTAGAAGGAAAAGCGACCCGGCTTCGGTTGAGAGGGACTTGGGCCGCGTTTGGCAGGCTCCCCTGCAGGCGGCAAGAGCGCTTAGATTTATATACCGCTTTCCAGGGCTTCCAAGAGTCGGCATCTTCCCGCCCCCGCCAAAATGTGGGTCCTCATTTTGCCCACCGTAGAAGGATGTAAGGTTGAGTCACCCTTGAGCAGGTCAGCAGTGAACTCCTGGCAGTGAAATGAGTTAGTCTGCAATACTGCAGTTTGACCACTGCTGCCAACTCCCCCTCCCTCTCTCCCTCAATCTATCCTTCCATCCATCCTTCCTTCCATCCATCCATCCATCCTTCCTTCCTTTCTTCCATCCATCCTTCCTTCCTTCCTTCCATCCTTCCTTCCTTCCATCCATCCTTCCTTCCTTCCTTCCATCCTTCC